CACCACGTTAAAGTGTGAAGGATTGCAGATGGAATCCGAATCAGCTTGGTGGCAGGATCTTGTTGCGGTTGAAAAGCAGCATTGAAAAACAGTTGTATGGGTCGCATACGTAGTCTGGCATACGGGACAATGGCAATTGCAGCAGCCATATGCCCCAGTAGTCTCTGAACGGATAAGGCTGGGACTGTTCCGTGTAGCCGAATCCCATGAATATGGCTACATAAGGCATTCTGACATTCCAGTGGGAGGAAGGCTTTTTCCTGCGTCGAATCGAGTCGTGCCCCGATGAAATCGATGACCTGCGTGGGAATAAGGGACCATTTGTCGCGGTTAATGCAGAGACCAAGAGCATCGAGTAGAGTGCAGGTCATTTGTATATCAGACAGGAGAGCTTGCTTGGATTGCGAGATGATTAGCCAGTCATCTAAGTATGGGTATATCTATATTCCCCATGTCCTCAAGTGTGCGCATACCGGCGCCATACACTTCGTAAAGACTCGAGGGGCTGTGGCCAAGCCAAAAGGTAGGACGTTAAACTCGAACAGGTCGGATCCAACAGTAAAATGTAGAAAGCGTCTGTGTGAAGGATGGATGGAAATATGAAAATAAGCATCCTTTAAATCCAGTGAGGTGAACCAATCCTCTCTTTTCAATAATGGAAGGTGGTCATCTGGAACTTCCTTGGTTTAATGTACTTATTAAGAGTTCGTAAGTCCAGGATCGGACGAAGACCACCGTCCCTTTTCGGGACCGTAATATATCTGGAATAGAATCCATGCAATCCTTCCGAGCAGGACAATTGTCGAATCGTTCCCTTGAGAAGTAGCTGGGAGACCTCATCATGTAGCACCAATGAAGAAGGTGTGAAGCAGATCGGGCTCGAAGGAGGGATAACATCGAATTCTATCCTATATCCAAACTGGATGATAGATAACACCCACCTATCAGATGTAATGGACTCCCAAATGGGGAGTTGGCCCTGGAGCCGGTTCCCAAAAGGGAGAAGGGAAGGTGGTGTTGGGAAAGATAAAAATGTTTTAATAAATAAATAAATAGAGGATGGTTCTCCCAAGCCATCAACGTGGGCATTTATCGGTATTGAACTGCCGACGGCCTTGGGAAAAACGCTGTTGTGTTTGCTGTCTCCAATGCTGCCATTTTTGATATTGCTGGCAAGGGTAGTTTTGCTGGCACGGATAGTATGGTTGGTTCCGGTAGGAAGACCGAGGCCACTGCCACTTACGTTTTTGCGGGAGCTCCATGTGGCGTGCAGTTAGGCGTGATTTGTGAATCACCTTTAATTTGCAGTCGGTCTTCTGGTGGAACAGACCGGTACCGTCAAATGGCATTTCCTCAATTCTGCGCTTCATCTCATTGGGGAAATTACAATTGCGCAGCCACGCATGTCGGTGTAATGAGATGGCATTGACGAGGGCCCTTGAATCGGTGTCTACATGATGACGAGCAGTAGACAACTGTTGCACCGCCACCTGCATCGCCTCCTTAATGAAAGCCCTGGCAAGGTCCGCTTGGTGGTCTGGAAGGGAGGAAGCAATGTTATCCAGCTTCTGCATGATAAAGTACTGGTAATGTGCCAGTGTCACTTCGTAGTTCGATATGCGCATGCCGAGTCCAGAGGCCGCATAGACTCGGCACGCAAGCATATCGATTTTCCTCCCTTCCTTGTCCCGAGGAGCAATATGTCCCCTGGACTCCCTGCCCTGGGAGGATTCAACCACAAGAGAGTTCGGTTTCGGGTGACGGAGCAGGAAGGGAATGTCATCGTCACGAACTCTATACATGGCCTCATATCTGCGGGAGATAGCTTGTGGTTGGGCCGGTTGGTCCCAGGGCTGGACCATAGCCTGACGGAGTGTAGTTATAAGCGGCAGAGCTATGGATGCGGACTGCTCTCCCCGAACGACATCATAAAACCGATCTGTGGAGGGGCCTGGCTGTTGATGAGCTTCGATTTCAAGCGAACGAACTAAGCGGGACATGAGCTCTGTGAAAGAGACATGCGGTTTGTTGGGTGAAGCAGGCCCTTGGTATGCGACAGCCACATCAGGGGATGTGGAGTCGACCTCTGAATCCTTGGAGTCTTCCACGTAACGTGGCCGGTTTTCGCTTGAGGAGGAGGTTTCAGGGGAGGTTGGGCGCCTTGTCTCCGTACGCCTGGAGGTGGATGGTATGCCCCTCGGGACCGATGGTGATCTATGATCCCGAGGAAAATAGGGATATGGTTGGTAACCACCCCAGCCGGGGGGAGCACCATATCCCGGGATCAACCAACTCTCATCTCGATGTTCGGATGAAAGGCTGCGACATCTGGGAGGTAATGGTGAGGCCACATGAGGTTCAGTCGGTGGCATAGGTGTTAGCGAGCAGTCCCTCAGCAGGGAGTCTCTGATCTCACCATCAGAGATGGACTCCCGAAGCGGCTCCTCCTGTTGCTGGGGATGCACGCTCTCAGGCCAAGTGGTTGGCCTGGGGGATCCTGGTGGAATCACCTGCATAACAAGTTGCAGGGCCGGTCCCAAGGGGGTCGGTACCATGGCGGCCGTCGGTACCAAAAAGCCCGATGAACCCGAGCCCCGGTGTTTTGGGCGATCAGGTTTCTTGCTCTTGCGAGTGGGCTTATCCACCTTTTCCTTCCTCAACTTCTTATGGGTGGTTTATCCAGACCGGTATGCTTGTGCTTCTCCCGTTTCTTAGCTGGGGGAGAAGGCAGTGACTGAGCCTCCATAGAAGCGGCACCTTCATCCGAAGGACGCTGTGGAGGATCGGCAGAGGTCGAGGAAGGACGCTTCGCCGGAGCACTCATGGTGGAGGAAGAGCGCTGAGGAGGCGTGGACGAAGAGGAACCAGGCCGTAGGAGCTGTTGGTCAGACTGCATTAATGCCTGATCCCATAGGAGCTTCCTGAGATTATTCTCCGTTTTTCCGCGCCTGCTTGGTAAACGCCAAGCAATGACCGCATTTGTCGGTCCTATGCCCCTCGCCGAGGCAGAGGAGGCATAGATCATGTGGATCAACTGGTGACATTTTAGATCCACATTCAATACATTTGCGGAATGCCGCCCGCTGCGCCATCGTGGAAAAATGAAGAAAAGAGGACAGTATAGAGTGTAAGATAATATTTTTGTTTGGGTTTTTTTTTTTTTTTGCTTTTTTATATAGAGAATTTAAGAAGAAAATGGACAGAATCGGGAAGAACAAACTTGGAGCAAGAGGAGTTTAAGGTTTTTGAGAAAAAAACAACGAAGAGGCACAGATCTATAGCGAGAGACGAATAGGCATGAGGCACAGTGAATGGCGGTCGCAAAGACTAAGTAAAATGGCGGACACTCCACTCTATTTATACCACGAAGGGGGAGGGGAGCGGAGTTTTCCCGCCAAAAACCGTTAGCTTTCTAATCTTCCAGCCCAGGCACTGCGCAGGCGCAGCAACCCATACATGTGATGCACAGAGGCCACGACGAAGAACAATTTTTGTTGCTCCTGTCTGACAAAATGGGAAACCTTGATAAAAGCTTTTCCACAATTTAGGTGAGGTATGCTGTATGGTGCAATGCATTCTAGTCTAAGTAAAACAGGAATATTCATAGGAAAGCTATTGCTATTGTTAAATGTTGCAAACCTGAATGCTTTAAAAATGTTGGCTATTTTTCTAAGAGGAAGAACTGTTTGAGCATGAGGTGGAGTATTTTGAATGAAGGCCACATTATACTCAGTCTGGTTCACTCTCACTTACACTGGGCTTCTTGTTTGCAGATAATAAAGTTTGCATGCAGCCTGATTTGATCAAGTTGCCTTAAGTCAGTAAGACTTATATCCCAAAGGATACAACTGTTCACATGCTAAAAGATGCTCCTTCCCTTCATGTTCTCTCTCAGTGCCTACATTCTTTACTCATTATCAGTCTTTTAATCCAGCTTCACAAGTTCTCTATTTTCATGTGACTTCAACTGCAGAACTATGAAGTTCCATCTTGACATTTTGAACAGCAGCAGGAGGAAGGGTCCAAGCAAGCAAATCATTTGTAAGTAGAGAGGGGAATGACCAGTAAAATTGTTCCCAACTCTGGAAACAGCAGTCCTATTTAAGGAAACTTGCAGGTAGTGCCATTTGAACAGTATGTTTTGCCTACAACTGTACCATAGTCATGCCCCAGGATTCCTCTTAGCTTGAGCAGGACAAAATCAGGTGACAAACAAGGACACATCTGTGAGAATCATGACATCTAGCAAACCACAGGGCCAAGATTTGTGCATGTTTCCCATCTAATGTTTGCACAGCACATGCAAACATGGGAACAGCCACTCCCAACATGGTGCTTCCAGTATTTTGACTACAATTTTCAACATTCGTGACTGTTGGCCATGCTTGCTGGAACGTATGGGAGCTATAGTAAAAAATAAATAAATTGCACATGGGTGATTAAGGTATATTAGAAGTATTATAAAAAGCCCCATCACCCCCATGCTCCCCATTTTGGATCCAAGCAATGGCACAGGCATCATTGTGGTGAGCTCTCCTGTCCTGCTCTTCCTGAAGCTCAAGTTGGGCTGGTGGTCTCCTGAGAGTTCACCCCAGCATGCTCTGCAACAGAAGAGATTCAGTTGGCTCAAGTACAAGAGGCTCAGTGCACTAATTCCAAGGACGAGGGGCTGAGTCACATGAGATGGTTTCTGGGTGGCAGAAAGAGGAGAGTAAGAGATGGGCTACCACCAAGAGTAGTGGCCATTGTGCTTGGGCTGTGGTCGGAGAAGAAGCTGTTCTTTTTCATTCAATTAATCCTAAAATCAACTATGGGACCTCATAATGGTTTACTCACTTGTTGAATGGTTAATTAAATATATTAATTGTAAATATAGTGTGAACACTTTAATTTATGAAATGGAAATATAATTTATTGGGCAGACCCTTGAAGCACAAGAAGTTGGACTGCCCTCCTTTATATGTAATTCATTAATTACAAACGAAGCCATTCTACAGTAATAGTGTTTCACTGCATTTTAATATCTTATAATGCTCATTCTTATGGTGAATTCTGAGAGGGAGTAGCTGTGTCTTCTACAAGAGATAATGGCACAAAATTCAGTTGACAGATTTTTTTGTATGCAAGAGCCCATGGGACTAGGGAAAGATGGTAATTCACAGTGATTGTACATTTAATGAGGAAAAGCTTAAAAGGAAGTCTACACATTGCCAAAACCTCTGAAACACCTTTTGTGCAGAGGCAACACAAAGGAACTCCAGAGAATAGTAGTAGTAGACCAGGATTTACTCCTTTTGCTTTGATATGGCCATCTGCTAAACCAAAAGGCAGCATTCTGCTTTGATATTATGCACAAATTAGAAAGGTAACAGATGACATTAAAAAGGCAATGCATATCAGTATACACATAGTGTAAACTTTTAAAATCACATCTATGCTTTTATCACTTCATAGTGCTTTTGAATACAGTGTTAGCATTTTTAAGAATAAATCTGACAACAGGAAGAAGGACCAGTTGATTCCAACTGATAGCAGCCAATCACTCTGCATGGCTTCAAGTTTTATGTTTATGTGATAACAGTGGGACCAGTGCGGCCAGTTCTCTCATGAAGCTGGGAAAGTTTCAGTGCAATGGAGATCAGAGGAGCCAACATGACCTGCAAAAAAGGGAAAGAGAAAAAGGAAAATGAAGAGAAAATCCTGGAAGAACAGAGTGTTTATTCCTACAACAGGTTCAGGGCTTGGTCATACAATCAGGGTTGTACCCAACTAGACTCACTGAAATAAATGGAACTTGGCATTGAGTAACACTGGGTACAGTCCAAGGAATCTAGAAGCCTGCAGAACCACCATTACTTTATGCAGTACAGGGATCTTTATTTTAGCATGACAAGATCTATGCAAGCATGGTTTTAACTGGAAAATAAGTTTCTAGTATTCCTCATTATAAGGTAAAACACACACACAACCTTGAAAGCCTGCAGGTAAGCATCTGTCTGAAGTGCTGCAGTCAGACAGCAGGATTTTCTTATTCTGCATGCCTCATAATAACCCCCTCCATAACTTATATTTAGAAGTGTGCATACATTCTATTTTCTCCCCTTCCCTACCAAAAACATGATATGCTTATCCTTTTCTTCCCAAAGTCTTCCTTTCAGATAAAGTAGATTCTTGGCTATCTGATGCTTATGGATCAAGCAGTCTCACTGCAAGGAATACGATGATTTAGGAAAAATAGGACAGAATGAGATGTACAGCTGAGCAATAAAAGCTACCTGTGGATCTTCATAGATTTTTGGTGCATCTTTTTCATAGCTATCAATATAGAGACGCACAGTTGCTCCAGCACTTCCTGTGCCACTTAGTCTAAAGATGATACGAGAACCATCAGCAAAGATGAGCCTCAAACCCTATAAAAAGCAAACATACAGCAAATGATTTTTTTGAAAGTCACTCTTCACTAAAGCTTCCAAATACAAAGTAGTTAAAAACTAGAGTTTTGTTGAGAGCTACCCAAGTATAATTGGCAATCCTGTAAATATTTCTGGCTGGAAAACATGAGTTCAAATTCTCTTTTTTCTGTGTGACACCACAGGTGCTCTACAATAGGCATGAATATTCTATCTTGATATTATATACCTTGCAGTCCACTTTTTCATAGCTGCTTTTCTATTCAGATAAACTTAGCTATGTTTACATGTTTTGTCCAGATATCTACAAGAAACTCAGGATTCTAACAATGATACTTATAATTAATCTTTGCACATTCTTTTGGGGAAAGGAAATCAAATTTATGCCTGACACTATTACAGCTTTAATCAAACTAAGAAATGTAGCTGGGTCACAGCAAAGACAATCCTGTACCACACATGACACAACACATGACCCAGAAGGATGTTGCCAGTTGTGTAACTTTCATTCTGTGAGTGTTTGTGGACTTCCCCTTAACGTGGCTCACTTTCTAAGACAGGGCCAAGCACAAGAGGAAGTTTGCAAATGCTAGAGGAACAGATTCTGCACAGCTTCATCACAGCCCTAGAAATGTTTTTGAGTAACAATGGATCCAAATGTTCAATTAGTGATTGCTATGACATGAGTGGAATAGCTGGGCCAAGGTTTGGAGAGCTACATTTGTTCAGAGCAGGGGAATTCAAAAAAGCAAATCTATATAGACAAACTTGAACAATATTAAGGGAAAGTTGGCTTGGAAGAGTGGGTAAGGGAAGAGGAAAGGAGAAGAAAAGAAATGGAGGGGGCATGGCTGAGTTGCAGGATATGTTCACCATATATGGTATAAGCACAAAGTTTGGTAACACCTTAAGCAAGTCTAGTAGTAGGCTCCCCTTTTAGAAGGGCTCCTTAGAAGCTGAAGCAAGCAAAAGAGTCCCACTTGACATTAAAATGAAAGCCAGCAAAGTAAAAGTTTTTATACTTCCCATGGAAGCAATCCATTTTCAATACAGTTCATTGAAACAAACCAGAACTATGTTAGGGTAGCTTCAAAACATATTTGATTAGAAGATGAATGCAACACAGATCATAGCATCCAGGTCACTCTTTCTGGCCAGTCTATATCAACTCCACAGAAGTCATGAATCTTTTCTGATGTTTCAAAGCTCAAGGGATGTATGTTCCCCTCCTTGCTCATATCATGTAGAAAGGGCCTTTGGAGCTATACCTTAACACAAGAGGATCTTATGAGACTTTTCCACAAAGAGTCCTATTACAGATAGTATGGCATTATGGAGATAATAGTTTGGCAGAATAGCCCCTTGTGGCCATGGAAAGTTCAAGAGAAGGCAGTCTTGTATAGTTCCCACTGGTTACCAGATAATGGGCTACAGTGGCATCGCATAATGCAGTCTTATTACAAAATGGAACTAAATACAAACATTAATACTAAAATATCTATTCATATATCTAAAGACATCTTCATTAAACTGACTTACAGAAGCAGGACAATGAAATCGAATAGCAAGTCCCCTCATTTTTCTATCTAGTTTAGGCATGGTGGCACAACTGCTTAATAACACTGGATGTGCTGACCAGGAATGGCTGACACTCTGGCAGGTCAAGCTCAGCACTGTGTGATAGAGCAAGCTCTCATCATTTGCCTCTAGCTCTTGTCCACTCCGTAGTTCGAAAGCATATAATACTGCAAGCAAATAAATGGGTACCGCACAGGTGGAAAAGCTAGCTGCATGAGAGTGGGCGCCATCGCTGGACTTGCTCAGACATGAGTCAAGCCACAATCAGTGGAAGAATCCCAGATGAGCCATCAAGCTGGTCTGCATATGTGTGGGGCTAGTTCTCCCCCTGTGGTGCACACTGGATAAGCATGTGAGCATGACAGAACAGACTAGAAATTGCAGGCAGCCAACATCTACTCTGTACTAGCATTGTAGACTTCTGACTAATTGTTCCATCATCATAAGCTAAATAAATAAATAAATAAATCTACCTGGTTTCTTGAGATGCTTCCATCAACAGGATCACTGTATTCAAAATTATCAGCTTTCTCCACAGTGTATGATTTGTCCCCTGCTGACAGCTGCTTCCCCACAAAGGAACGGTCAAAAAAGAGTGTCTCTAGATCCTTCATCATCTTGTTAGCACCATCAGCATCCACCTCCTCATAGTCATATCTAGAAGAAATCGGGGAGACTTTGATGGGATACAAATGGTCTACAGGCACAAAGTGCCTTGCTCTGCAGGCTTTTGAAATTTCTGCTTATTTATTTATTTACATGAATTTATAGGGTGCCTATAATTGCTGAGGACTTCCTAGGTGGCTTACAATGCATAAAACATACTAACAGAGTAAAAACACATTAAAAACCAATTAAAACATGAATTAAACATCTATAAAAACTATTTAAAAAGAGCCACAGCATACAGGCTAAATGTTAAAAAAATTCCTAAAAAGATATGTCTTCACCTGGTGCCTAAAGGAAAACATAGATAGTGCCAGGAGAATTTCCCTATGGAGGAAAAGATAAGGAGGCCTCCACAAAGAAATTCAAGTCCCCAAGGACTAAGATCTTGGGGGACCTCAAAACCAGATCCAAGACCAACTCTGTCAGCTGAGGCAGGGAGACTGATACAAGTGCAGCAGGGTGGATGGTTAACAGAATCCCCAATCTGTCTTGGGAGCCCAACACACAGTACAAATCCTCTAGACCTTCACTCCAGGGGACAGGAAGCCTTGCAAGAGAGATCGAATCTTTAAAGATTATCACCACCACCCCCTCCCTGGCCCTCTGGGCGATACTGCTGCTGCACTGAATACCCTGAGGGGCATAATTGTGAAAGAGGGACCCCTCCCTCCTTTCCTGCCTGCCCAGGTTTCGATAATACACACTAGGTCGGTCTTCTCATCCACAATTAAATCAAGAATGATGGTACTTTTATTACAGACTGACCTGGAACTTAGACACCTCCAGAATGCTCTCAAAAGGGAAGCACACCTGACACCCACACTATTTTTTTCATGCAAAGCAAGTTTCTTTAGAGATTTGGAGGGCATGTGGCGGGGAGAAGACATGGAATTCCCATTCCACCAGTGTTATCTTTCCAAGGAAGAGCAGCCATTCTGGATTCAACTCCTATAGGAGACTATCCCAGGACCCTTAAGATATTGTAACTTCCCTACTCATCAGTGGAGGACCGTGAGTGAAAAGAAGGTATATTGCTCAAGGTCTCCTCATGGTGGTAGTAGTGGTACTATTCCTTTTCCCTTGTCAGTGCTTTGACAGCAGTATGGAGGATGGACTCCAACATCAGGATGGACTGAGGGAAGCCTTGGATTCAGGGGATCCTAAAGGACTTCTCTGCCCTAATATCACTCATGAAATGGCACCATCCTAGTAGCTAGCTTAACACATTCTTCCCACAACATGAAGGATTTTTTTTTTAAAGTGTTGCAACAGTAAAAAGGGCACAAAAGCCCTCCCATCACCTACCAGCCCTGGCCACAATGAAGCAGCCTACCAAAGGACTGTAAGGGAAGGGTACATGTTTACTAGGCACTGTAAGGAAGGAGTAGAATTCAGACTAAGTAAATGGAACCTGAAGTACATTGAAAATTTTAAATGTTGGGAATTTTAATCAAGTTTTAACTTCACAGTTGCTTTTTGGTTTTGGTTCTATTCTTAATTTTGTTTTGATTTTTCTTCATTTGTGAAATGTTATTGGTTTTATGTACATATTTAACTATTTATTTAATTATTGGTAATTTGTTGGATTGTTTGCTTTGATTTTTGTAAGTCGCCCTGAGACGCTTTTGCATATAGGGCAGGGTATAAATATTTTAAATAAATAAAAATAAATGTGAAAAATTACTCACTACTAACTTAGTTCCCATTTATTTCAGTAGAACCTAAGTTTTATTAACTTAATCTAGAATCAAGTCAGATTACATTGATCTTCCACACAAGCACAGTCTTCCAGACAAGGGAGAACAACAGTGCAAAGTGCATGCTAGAAACAGTGCCCATCAGTTTGCAACTGCTGACTGAAAATGTTGTGAAGTAGTTTCTGCTTTTCATATCTTCCTGCCATTCTGCTTTTGTAGCAATGAATTCTAGTAGGTCTTCTGTGCAGAACAATAGATGGATTCACAACTATTTTGTCCTTTATTATAAGGTGCAATTGGGGTAGTGTGTGATTTCTATAGAAGAAATATGGACCTATTAGACATGGGAACCCAAAAGATAAGTGTCCAGGGTGTTTTCATGGACTTCTCCATTCTGAATATAGTCTGGACTGCATACAATTATATTTCCTAGCCTTCATATGCTATTTGCAACATTTAACAGAATCCCATGAACTGCACAGGGGCAAAATATGTATTCAGTTTATTTACTGTGATTTGAAAAATTGTGTAGAATCTAGAACTCCAAACAATATCAGTCCTTGCATATTCATTTCTTTGACAGTGATGACAGGATTTCTTTTCAGTGTAATTAAGTAGAAAACATATGCAATTGCCATGAAGCTATTCTTTTGAAAATTTCCTTACCTTGTGAAGAAATTGCGCCCATATTTTTGCCAGTGATCTTTCAGGATCTCTTCCACACTCTGTTTGCGGACAGCTATGATTGACAGCCATGCCAAGACTGCCCAGAGTCCATCTTTTTCACGAATATGATCTGATCCTGCAAGACAATACAGAAATCATAGAAGCAGAACCACTAGCCCAGAACATCTCGAGGGGACCAGGATGGAGAAGGCTGATCTAAATTTGTTGGGGTATGGTGTCCCTGGATTCATAGACATGTACCTGCTTAGGTGGTCTACAAGAAACTGCTTCTTTGCCTTCAGCTCTCACTTGCCTCAAGCTGGATTTGATAACTTCTGCCTTCCCCAACCCAGTGCCCTCTAGATCTGCCAGACTAGAACTCCTATCATTGCCATCCATCAGTCATTCTGTCTGTGGAGCCTGGGAAATACAGTCCAACATATCTGGGCACCATGAGGTTAGGGAAGACTGGTTTAATGTTTGTCTCAGTATTTTGGTATACTGGCACTGGAATGGGAATACAACCATGTATATATTTGACCAAAGTATGTATTGTGTTTTATTATTATGTTTATTAAAATGCTGCTTTAGCAAGAATTTATCAATTTTCCATTAAGAGGTGGGGTTTTTTTGATTAATTGAACTGCTTTGCTCCTTCCTTAGGGAGTGAATTGAAATGTTCAATAATATAATTGCACTGCAGGATGTTTATTTTTGCTATATCCTTCATACTGTTTGGTTCTCATCTTTTAATATCATTCTATTTGATTTATTAAGTTATTGTTCGCTGCTCTGGTCGTCCTTGTGAAAGGAAAAATGGGGTACCGACATAGAAATTAGAATCATCAGCAGATATAGATGTTTGCTTACCAGTACCAAAACTCTCCTCTCCACACAAAGATAGCTTGCTTGCATCCATTAAGTTTCCAAAGAACTTCCAACCTGTTGGAGTTTCATATAGGGCAATCTTTGTAGCTTTGGCGACCCTTTGAAACAGCCAAAAGAGAGACTGTGTTCTTTATCCATGTTTTATTGCAGAAAAAGAGTAATTGCTATCAGCAATTGCCTCTTGATAAATGGGAAAACAACGCATTTCTGGAGTCAGCTAATCTTTATGGGGGCATATGGACCTTACTTGAACATTAGCTAGTAACAGAGTGGAAGTAAAGTAATCAGATTTCATAATGTTAGATAACACTGCCAAGCAAGGCCATGAAAATTGATTTGTGACATGAAAAGGACTCCTCGGGCTTTGGCTTTACTGTGAAGAAGCCAGACCATGTTGTAACACAAGCCACTTTTGAAACTGAAGAGAAAACTCAAAAGCAGTTTGTTCAGCAGGTTCTGTTATCTGAGAGACAGTTTTGACTAATGGGGTGGGATAGAAATTCAAAAAATTACTTGGCAAGTATCTTTAAGAAAATGCAGTGATTACTAGAAGGCAGTATGGATTTATCAAAAATAAATCCTGTCAGACTAATTTAATCTCATTTTTTGACTGAGTAACCTACCAAACGGACAGAGGGAACACTGTGGATATAATCTTCCTAGACCAGGAGTCGTCAAACTATGGCCCATGGGCCAGATACGGTCATTTATACGGCCCACCTCAGAGCTCTGAGCCAGCATCGGTGTACTCTTTCAGTTTCAGAGACTAGCAGAGAGCCGGCACACGCATCAAATTGTGGTAGCTCCCTTCAACTGCACGTGTGCCGGCTCTCTCTGCTAGCCAGTGTGAATTGCACAAGCACCAGCTCTTCCCCCTATTGCATGCATGTGTCAACCCTGAATACAGAAGAGAGGAGTGAATATGAAACTGGACATTGACCATCTCATTAGCCAAACGCAGGCCCATAATTCCCATTGAAATACTAACAAATTTATGTTGATTACAATTGTTCTTCATTTTAAATATTGTATTGATTTTTCCTGGGTTTTTTTGCACTACAAATAAGATATGTGGAGTGTGCAAAGGAATTTGTTCATATTTTTTTCAAACTATAGTCCAGCCCCCAATAGTCTGAGGGACAGTGAACTGGCCCCATTTAAAAGTTTGAGGACCACTGACCTAGACTTTAGCCACACTTTCAACATAGTGGCCCACAACATTCTGATAAACAATTTAGAAAAAAGTGGACTAGATAGAAAAACTATTAGGTGGATACAAAATTGGCTGCTAAATTGGACACAAAGAGTGCTAATCAGTGGCACCTTTTCAAACTGGACGGAGGTAACTGCAAGGTTCAGTGCCGGGCACAGTGCTCTTCAACATCTTTATTAATGATTTAGATGAGGAAGTAGAAAGAAAGTTAATAAAATCTGCAGATGATACAAAACTGGTTGAAAGGGGAAGTACCTTAGGATAGGAGTTCCCAACCCCAGGGCCAAGGACCAGTACTGGGATCGCACAGCAGGAAGTGAGTGGTGGGCAGGCAAGTAAAGCTTCATCTGTATTTGCAGCTGCTCCCCAGCACTAGCATCACTGCCTCTGAGGTGGACCTGAGGCAGTGAAGCAGGTGCTGGGGAGTGGCTGCAAATACAGGTTATCATTAGCAGAGAGGTTTGACTGCACAGAGACCATAATAAATCAATTGCATGGAGATGCATATCAAAACCCTATCAGTGAGTGGCAAGTGGCAATTAAGCTGCATCTGGTGGCAGGCTTTAAGTCAGAATCCGAAACTTATTTTAGTCTGCATGTGGCCCAACTATTATTTTATTTACCACTTCCATCCACACCTCTTTCTCATACTGTGCACTTGTCTCAGTCAGTTTTGGTAAGCCCACAAGCTAATTAAAAAACAAATGTTTCTGGAGAGCTTATTTGCAAAGGGGAAAAGACCCAATGATGAGACAGCAGAAGACTCTAAGACTATCAACAAATCATTCCACCACCACCCCGCCCCCAGTCTGTGGAAAAATTGTTTTCCATGAAATTGGTCCCTGATGCCAAAAAGTTTAAGATCCAGGGCGATCTTGATAAACCTGAATGCTGGGCTGAAAGCAACAACAGAATGAGATTCTATAGGGACAAGTGCCAAGTCCACCTAGGAAAAAGAAACCAAATGCATCAACAAGATGGAGAATATGGGGCTCAACAGAACTGAAAAAGAAAAAGACCTTGTTGACCTGTGGACAACAATGTGATGCAGTTGCAATAAGGGTAAATGCTATTTTGCAACAACCCAGAGTCAGGCTGGACATCAGAAAAAGCTTCCTCACTGTCAGAGCAATATGACAGTAGAACCAACTGCCTAGAGAAGTGATGAGCTCTCCCATACTAGAGACATACAAAGGAAGCTGGACAGTCATCTATGTGGGATAGTGTAAATTGTGTCTTGCAACAGCAGGGAGTTAGACTCAATGGCCTTCATGGCCCCTTCCAACTCTACTATTCTATGCGTTCCATAGAGAGTGGAAATCAATGAATGCCGAGACCAACCTGTTACATGTCTTGAAAATTCCTAAAAATTCTTCCTGAGGAAGAATGTAACCTAGAGGCATGAAACAAGCACCTTATCTCATGTAGGTATCAATGGTTACTATGGCTATATATAGTCACAATGGCTATATACTGCCTCTGATATCAGAAACAGTGAGCCTCTGAATAGCAGCTGTGGGAAACATGAGTGGGAAGGTACCATTGCATGAATGCCCCATTTGTGGTCTTCCCATACACGGTGAATTGGGCACTGTGGGAACTAGATAAGGCTTAATCTGAGCCAGCACAAAGAATTCAAGCATTTTTGCAAGTTTGAAACCCTTTATATATTCTGCCTGTCTTGTTCTTTTACAGTAATTGATTTTTTATTGCTGCAAGATGCTTCCCTCTGTTCAACAGCAAGATGCTGCACAATATGGCAACTGCAATTTTTCACCCACCCACAAACTGTGTCTTTCATAGACCCTTCAGGCACCACATCTCTGGCTTCTCACCCAATTGTGCAATTTAGGTAAAATAAGCCAGGTGTGGGTAGAAGGTGCAGCTCCAGATATTTGGGCTCTAGTATCTAGAAACCACCTACCAGCATGACTGAGGATCAGAAATGCTTGGGTTGAAGCCCAAAACAACTTGACTATTACTTTCCACCCACTCCTGGCATAAACAACAAGAGAAGATACACTGTGGAGTAAAAACCTTCAGCTGCTTGAAACCAATCCATTGTCCTTTAAACTCCCAACAAATCCTCAATACCATTTCTTAAGCCTTCTTCCCTCCACAAGAATCTTTACTATCTGTGCTCCCTCTTATGCACTTGCAAACTTGATCCTCCTCAGCTGCAGACAACAGTGATTCAGCTTCTATTATCTTCTAGAACAGCAGGTGCAAAGGTTAGTAACAACCACTGCCATTTAGAAACCATGGGGAAGGAATGCCTCTACAGCTTTCTGTGTGGCTTTTAGTAAAACACTCTTCGATAACCCTATCTAAATTATCCTTCTCAACTTTAGTGCCCTCCAGATGTTTTTAACTTCAGCTTGCATGAGCCGAAGCTAGCCCAGTAAATGGTCACTAATACTAACATTTTAGTCAAAAACATGTGGCAAGTATCAGGATGAGTGATCTAAACAAAGAACAACACCTGCCACTTAGGGATGAAGTAAACCAAGTCACTTCACTGAAAAGACATGATCTTCATTTCTGTTGTTCCATTACTGATTTCCTACAGCTGTTCTGAACGCACATCTAAGAAAAGGGAACATAAACACATACATTTCTGTTGCTTGCTCATAGTTGATCACCAATGGACAGAGAAGCAAATGCCTCCCACCTGTTAAGTCCTACCTGTCAATTGCTCCACTTGTAGGCATGCTTCGTGCAAATCCTCGAACTCCTGTTTGTTGAAAGTAAGGAATACTGAAAATATTTGCAGCAATAACAGCCACAGAGTCTGAGGGATTAACAAAGAATCCATGTTTTCCAAGTATCATGTTGCGATCCTGATAAAGACAGCAAAATTAATGCTGACAGCAAAATTAATTTACTCTTTTTCCAACCATTTTTCAGGGCAGCCATGCTAGTCTGTTGCAGCAAACACAAAGAGAGTCTTGCAACACCTTAAAGACTAAATGCTTTATTCTGTTATTTAATTCTGGAATAAGCGTATTAGTTTAAGGTGGCACAAAATGCTTTTATCTTGATGACACAGATGGCCAGATATACCCCAGGAACACTAAAAGAACATCAGGTTTAAAAAGATTAAGGATAGAAGTTGACCTTCCAGTAGACATTTATATGATTGTACTCAAATCTTTTAAATCAATTCTATTATATTTTTAGGGTGGTCAAAAGATACGGTTCCAGCACCTTGTTTAGAAGAGTGGATTTCAGTGGGTGTAGTTTGTCATGCAAATTATATGAGGTGAAATTCACTCTTTTCTTTTCTTTTCCATACAGCCATCTTACAGTATATAGGAACATTTTCTTGAAAATCTGAGCGTTCCCATCAAATTAAGTAGTAGATGTTTTGAAAGCCTTTATAACCAACATAGCTAACTATAATGCAATTTTTTCAATTAATTGCACACATTAATGGAAGTGGGAAAGATGAACAACTGTGCTGCCCAGCTCTCAGGAAATCTCCCATGAAAGTTTTGTTGCCAGCAGTGTAAAATCCAGACACAAAGTACCTAGCCCTTAGATGAATTTATTTATTTATTTAAAACCTTTATATGCCATTACCACATGCCTCGGCATCTCGAGATGGCTTACAATGTAGAATTAAAACAATAAAATGTTTATTGAATAAATGAAGTTAATAAAGGAAAACATACCATGTTTTATAACTTCTTGGTCATTTCTTATCCCTATTCGCTCATAAAATATATAAATTGTGACCCTATAAACACTGATGGTAACCTTTTAGAGACCGAGTGCCCAAACTGCAACCCAAACCCACTTATTTATCGCAAATTGCCAGCACTGCAATAAAACCTGAATACTGAGGTTTTAAGTTTAGAAAAAACAACTCATACATTAACATCTTTTGTCTTAAAAGAAAAATACAATGACAGAGCTTTCAATGATACAACAGCTTTTTATTGAAAGGTAAAAGTTTGCATTTGGCATGCTTTTGCCTGCTCTGAAAAAGGCATCTGAGTGCATTTCCTACCTTGTGCGGGCTTCTGCTAAAATCATAGCCAGTACAAGCAAATATATGTATCCTTGCTCTTGTTTTCATAAATTCTTCACAAACTACTAAATATGATGCTGCAGATTCAAATATGCCAGAGGGGCAGCACAACATTAAAAGAATCTCAGTCTCTTAATTAGAACATCTCTTTGCTAAATCTTAGATATTAAATTTCAATTCTTCATAAGAAAACTCAACGCTAAAATCTTGTGTTAAAAAACCCAAATGTATTAAAACTCACAGCCAGTCCAAGCTATCCTTGGCAGCGCACTGATCAGTCATGTGAAAGCTCGGATGAATCACGGCTAATGAGTTGCAACGTGTGACATCATCGCCTGGTGCTGCTACTCTTTTCCGAGCATGCGTATGGCCCGTGTGCGCTGTTATCTGGTGCTTGGCTGCTGGGGCAATGCTGGGGCGACTTGGCTCGCCTGCCAACAGAGAGGGCTCTGTGTGCCCGCTGCAGCATGCATGCCATAGGTTCGTCACCATTGCCCTATAGGTTAAAACAGTTTTCTAAAGAGACATTCAGCAGTGAACAAGTTTTCCTTACTACACAGGAGCCTAGGGATTTCAGAATGAGTTCTATTTGTTTCTACAATGGACAGGTATAGTCCAACCAAAATGCTTTGACTGATTTTGGGTGACAAATGATTTTGAGTGGCATGCACTCTCAGGAGAAAAAAGACTTTACTTACCCCATCACCATCAAAGGCAGCTCCAAAATCATATTCTCCAGTTTTCATGGTCTGGACTAGATCAGCGGCATAGGTTAAGTTTGGATCAGGATGATGGCCACCAAAGTCCTCAAGAGGTACACAGTTCACAGCAGAATTTGCTGGTGCTCCAAGTTCTTCACAGAGGATCTTTTTTACATAAGGGCCAACAACTGATTCGGCAATGCAGGGACAGATACAAACCAATTACTTAAAACACTTAAAAATAATCATATTCCTTTAAAAATGTTTCCGTAAAGTTTGGTTATTTAGGAATGTACATGGTTATATCAGTGGTATATGTTAGAGGATTTTTTGGTAGAAATTCACTAATTATTTATATATCTCCCACAAGCACATCAAAATGTAATATGTGCTGAAGTTGTTTTGGAACATGATGTTCAAGAGAACTGCACCTCACATTAGTGGGGAAAAAAGAAAGACAACTGAGAGCATAAGAATATTCTAACACAAGGTGAGAGTAAATGAAGATATACTGTTAACTCCACTGTCACTTTGACTCTGTTAGTGATGAAGGCTGGCAATAAAAAATGGACAATGGAGTAGATGTGTATGGGATTGCCAAAGTAACTCCCACCAAGTTCAATGAAATTTATTCCAAGGTAAAATTTAAAAATAGGACTGCAGTCTTTTTCTTCATCAAGGTACAATAGCTGTACTTGTTCTATTGCCTACCTCCATGCATAGCATCTATCCGAATCTTTAGATGGTTTTGACCCGAGAGTAGTTCTTTTAGTGCACTAAAATCAAAAATATTCCTCAACATGTTGGCATAAGCTTCTACAGAGTCCACAATTTCAACTGAAAAACAAAATCATGTAACATGAACAACCAGATAAAATTATTTAGAAGACGGTATTACTAGGTGCTTATTCTTGCATCTAACACTTAAGATATGGAGAAAATGGCAACACACACTGTTACTGTATTTGTCTACTCTTATTCAATTCTTACTACATTGACAAAGGCAAATGGTGCTAATTCAGTTCATGGAAACCTTCTTAATAGATTTTACTGTGGGAGTCGCTCATAAATAGGACTACAACTGAAGGACCAAGCAGAATACATAAAGCTAAACTGGTTTCACCCACTATTCCAGTTTAGCCTAACCTTATATTGCGGAAACACCCCACTAATGACATTTGAACAATTGATGTTTGTAACCAATTCCCTAGTCTAAGGCCTCACATCCAACATATACAGGGTATTAATTATGAAAGCAATGGGATGAAAAAATGTGGAAACACGACAAAGAAAAGTTTGAGGTAAAGAAAATAAATGAAATATGGATTTAAAACAATACTCTGCAGCATTGCCAAATATAAGGAGAAAATCCTTGAAGGTAGTAACAATGACTTCAATAATTTTACATCATCTGTATAAAATAACATCACAAAATAGCAAACTGTTGAAGGGGTATGTGCTATAAGATGTGATAGGCATATAGACATATATTTATATTACATTTACAGTGGTACCTCAGCTCATGAACACCTCAGTTCACAACCAAATTGGGTTGTGAACAGAAATTTCAGAAAAATTTTGCCTCAGGTCGTGAACTCCACATCAGATGATGATCAAGGTCGCGCTCGTGCAGGGAAGACAGGCGTGATCATGGTCATGCTTAAGGAGGGCAGAGATGGCCACAATCTTTGCTGTTCTTTGTCACTTTCAAATTTTTGTGATTAAGAAAATGGTTACAGAATGGATTAACCTTATTTACACTGAACCTTATAGGGAAATTTGATGGGTCACAACCAATTTGGGTCATGATCAGAGTCATGGAACGAATTAAGTTCGTGAGCCAAGGTACCACTGTATATGCCTTTTGTTAGAAACCCAAGGCTTACATATTTCTTCTCTACTCCATTTTATCCTTGCAACACCAACCCTGTAAGTCACATAAGGCTAAGAGTGAGTGACTCTTCCAGTCAGCTGCCAAGCTGGACTAGAATCTAGATCTCCTGCGTTCCTGTTCATCACGCTAACCACTGGCTCTCTTAACTTTTGAAAGGAGATTTGTCAAAAGTGTCATAATGTAACAGCTGGGGAGGCACACATGGTGTCTAAACTGGCACTTTTGTCTTTAGTGTCCCTAATGAGCATTTGCCGGACAAAGAAACGCTGACATTTATGGAGGTCAGATCCCATCAATTAATAGCAAAGTAGTGGAAATAATCCACAGGCATCTCAGTTGTGTGGTATAACTACTTTTGGAATACTGAAAGCTTAACCAGATACATAATGGCAGAGAGACAGCCAATAAACAAACAAACACTTTCCATTTAATTTGATACAAATATATTGCTTTTACTACCAATGACATTTCCCAGAGAAAACCACCAGCATGACATGGATAGACATGAAAGGCTATATTTAAGGCACAATCCTGTGTATGTTTAAGTAAGAAAAGAAGTCGGTTCCTAGCACTGCATAGGCAGCATGGCTGCCTGAAGAATGCTGAGAGTTGTTAGACTTTTTAATGTCTAAGTAAGAATTGTTCCCTTAGATCAGGCAAAGTTATCTGGATAATTATAACATCATTAATATAATTAGCCACTTGCAATTACAGCTAACTGTAATTTGATTCTGAGTTGTAAACAGATCCAGGTTCTAGTCCCCATCCAGCCTTGAGGCTCACTAGGCGATTCTGGGCTGGGCACTCACTCTCAGTTTAACCCACCTTACAGAGTTGTTGTGATGATAAAATGGAGCAGAAGAGGACTATGTAAGCCATCTTGGGTTCCTTCCAAGAGGAAAAAAAGGTGAGGTATAAATGGAGGATGATGCACATAATTTAAAACTCCATGGAAATAATATTTATTAAAAAGCAGACAGGGTTCCTGTATTTTTTCACAGTTGTATACTAGATGAAATTTCAGGAGGAACAATTTGATCTTCCTTACAGCTATTAACAGTATGGAATATCAAATTGTTTCTCCTGAAATTTCTTCTAGTTCACAACTGTTAAAGAATACAGGAACCCTGTCTGCTTTTTAACCCTTTCTCTTTTGCATCTGGTCATTCTATGGAAATGCAAGTGCAAGTAAGTTATTTATTAATGAAAGAGAGAACACACAGCTTTTACTTGCCTGTAAATGGTTTAAACTTGTTCTCCAAATCAAACTGCTGCTTTCCAATTGTATTGAGGTCTACATTTAGATCTGGACATATAGCATACTCTTCAATCGTCTTGCTAATTTGGAAAATTTTGTCAGTAATACCTTCAGGAGCAGGCCCTAGTAAGAAAAACAGATTGAAATGACTGGACATGTGATACAGGATAGCTTTAAAAGACAAAGGAATGAAAGCATGTTAAAAGAAGGGAGAAGTAATACAGGTGTTCATAAGCATAACAAAATACAATCTGCACTATTCCCAATATAACTGCAGAACAACATGATACAAATCCCATGATACAAAGGTGTGTGTGTAAAATTCATGAAGAAATTGCTAGTTATAGGACATGAAGAATTTAAGGATTAGGTGGCCAGATACAAAAGAGGACACAGCTCCTGTACTTTTATATACACAAGAGAATTTCAGCAGGCATCACTTGCTTGACAAGCTACACCTGCTGAAATCTCCTTCTACATAGCTAGTATGGGTGCAGGGACTCTGCATCTTCTTTTGCAAGTGGCCACACTATATAATGACAAGCTATGGAAAAACTAAAGATTCGCTTGTTTATGCAAATAAAAAGTTTTTGGGTAGACAACCAGTGAATGCAGCCTTATCAGAGGACTATCCACTGCTGAATGTGGATAGGGTCTGAACAAGAGAGAGACAGAGAGAACAAGACACACACACACAGAGAGAGAGGGAGAGGGAGAGGGAGAGGGAGAGGGAGAGCGCACACACAGTATAAGAACAGTCTCATTTCATTTATGTCCTCCTTTGTACCACCCTCCTCTCCCAGTCCTCTTTCCTCTTTTACTCCACCCAAGTGAAGTAAACTTGTGTATTTCATTCCAGTGTATTTCATGCTCTGGCAATTGTAAGTCGATTGTTCAGTTAAACATATTACTAACAGCAATGAACAGTGAGTAGACAGCATACGTGTATTAGCCAATAGCAAGAGAAATGTGTATAGATGAAGAGTGGAGTTGAGGATCGGAATTACTCACCTCCATTTGAAATATTGAACTTAATGCCAAAATCTCCATTAGGTCCGCCAGGGTTGTGACTTGCAGTCAAAATTATGCCACCAATTGCTTTTATTTTTCTAATAATGCAGGACACAGCTGGGGTAGAAAGAATTCCATTCTGTCCAATTACCAAACGGCCAATCTTTAAAAAGAAAAGAAAAGTCACAAGAGTGCTTAGAGACATAAAGCATATGGACATTCAAAATGTCACTCTAGGTTCTATCAACCCTTTCATAGACTTTTAGAAATTATGTTGGCTAGATGCAAAAGAGGTCAGGTCTCCTGAACCTTTAATAGTGATATGGAAGAGGGAATCTTATTTATATATTTATATCCTGCCTTTCCCCTTTCCATGGAAATCGGGGCAGCTTATATAATTCTCTTTCTCCTCTCAATTTCATCCTCACAACACCCTACACCCCATCCCCTGGAGGTAGGTTGGTCTGAGAGTCTGTGATGGGCTCAGTGTTCTCCATGGATGAGTGTGAACTAGAACCCAGGTCACCTGGGCATCCCTGTCCCTCACTCTATATCACAATGGTGCTTGTATCTCATGCAATCAATACCCACTGAAATTACCTCTGCATGCAGCTATTAAAAGAGCAGGAGTTTTATCCACTTTTGCAACTGGCCATCTGATTACAAATATTGTGGAACTAAAGGCACTGCCACTTTTGCATATCTTTGATAACAATCCTATGCATGTTTATCTGCTGGAGTACAAGAAATTTCTTTTCTTGAACTTCTAATATTTTTTCATAATTAGTATATTGTTATCAACCTCAAAATGACACTGATGTCACATCATCCTACAATTCACCTAGAGATGAATCCAATTTTAGGCATCATTCAACAATATGCTCAAAATACTCTTCATTGCCCTAAGGGCACCATCCAATGTGTAACCCTCTGAACTCAGAGGGCTGTTTAAGTGTTTTGCAAGGAGAAGAATCACTGCGATTCCTCATACCTTGTTCTTCTCTTCCCCACCCTCCCAGAATGCCCCCTCATTGCTGCTCTGAAGTCATACTTGCAGCTTTGGAGCAACAGCCAGCAGGGAATGAACCATGTGAACTGCAGCACTGGAGGGCGACCCTTCCAGCTTTGGAGCACCAACTCCAAATGTGTAGCTCCTTTTCAAGGTTGACACTGAGAAAGAAACTTTTCCTCTGGCCACTGACAGAACATTTAGCAACCACAGGACTATGCCCAAGTGTCTTCATGCTCTCAAAAGCTAATCTCATGGGAAGAGAATGTTATTAAAAAGCACTTCAAATATATTCTATTGGAAAATTCAGAATCAGAAATTCAGTTATATGAAATGCCAAGTTATTTGGAGTGATTAGAAACTCCCTAATTCTGTTCAAGAAAAATAAAAGGGACAAAAAGAGAGGTGAAGTCACATTATATGTAAGAGACACATATATCTGCACAGAAATACAAGAAGAGGAACTTTGTAGCTCCATTGAAAGTATCTGGCTAAATTTAAAGGGAGTGAAAACTAAGAAAAACATAGTTATTGTCATCAGAAAGAGGACAAGGATGCAAAAAGCAACTTGCCAGCATTTCCAAGAAGAATGATCTAGTCATCATAAGGGACTTCAATTTCCCTGATATCTTCTGGGAGACAAATTCTGCCAAGCACGGTCCCTCCAAGAGATTTCTGACATGGATTGCCAACAACTTCCTCCAGCAGAAGAAAGAAGAAGGAACAAGAGGATCAGCTATCCTTGATTTAATACTAACAGGAATGGCCTGGTGGACAAAATAACAGCCATGGGAACTTTGGGGGAAAGTGACCGTGCAATACTTGAATTCTCAATTATAAAGGAGACAAAGGGTAATTGGACTTCAAATTGGACTTCAAGAAAAATTGGACTTCAAGAAAGCCAACTTTAACGAACTCAGAAAAATGATAAGCAAAGTGCTACAGTAACACACCCTTAAGGGAAAAGGAGTCCAAGAGGGAAATCTTGAAAAAGAATATTCTCCAAACACAACTATGAACAACACCAAGAAGAAAAAGTGTAAATAACAGAGCAAGCCATGTAGCAGCTCCACAAAAAGTTAAGTGACAGCCTGAAAGAAAAAAAGAACATGTAGAAAAAGTGGAAGCAGGGTCAGACCACAAAGGAAGAATATAAACAAAAAGCAAGGACATACAGGGACAGCATCAGGAAGGCTAAAGCATGAAATGAACTGAGGATAGCAAAGAATGCTAAGAACAACAAGAAAGCCTTCTTCAGTTACATCCAGAACAAAAGGCATGAGAAAGAGAATGGTGCCATGCTACTTAAAGTGGATGGCAGAGTGACAAAGAAAAGGCAGAGGTGCTCAATTCCTTCTTCGCCTCAGTCTTCTCCCACAAGAAAATCTACAACCAAGAGGAAGCACAAGCTGAAAGTGACAGATGGCAGCCCAAGATTGACAGACAGATGGTCAAGGAATACCTAGATGGAATAAATACTTTTAAATCTCCAGGACCTGAGGAACTCCATCCTGGAGTCAAAAACGAGCTAACAGAGGAACATTCAGGACCACTTGCCATTATCTTTGATGAATCTTGAAAAACAGGACAGATGCCAGATGACTGGAGAACAGCTAACATTGCCCCATCTTCAAAACAGGGAAAAGAGATGAACCTCAGAGCTACAGACCAGTTAATCTGACATCAATCCCTGGAAAAACTGGGGAGAAAATTGTATAAAATCAGTCTGTAAGCAAAAATGCAGTGATTAATGAAAGCCAACATGGAATTATCAAAAATAAATCTGGTCAGACTAACATAATCACATTTTTAACTAAGTAACCTCAAAAAATGGACAGAGGGAACACCATGGACATAATCTACCTATACTTTAGCAATGCTTTCAACATAGTGGCCCATGACATTCTAACAAGCAATTTAGAAAAAAGTGGACTAGGTCGAAAAACTATTAGGTGGATTCAAAATTGGCTGCTAAATTGGACAAAAAGGGTGCTATCAGTGGCACTTTTTCAAACTGGAGGGAAGTAACTAGTGGGGTGCCACAGGGATAAGTCCTGGGCCCAGTGCTCTTCAACATCTTAATTAAAGATTTAGAGGAGGAAGTACAAGGAATGCTGATCAAATCTGCAGGTAAGACAAAACTGGGTAGAAGAGCAAATACCCTAGAAGACAGAATGAAGATTCAGGGCGATCTTGATAAACTTGAACACTAGGCTGAAACCAAAAGAATGAAAGTCAATAAGGACAAGTATTGAGTCCTCCACCTAGGAAAATGAAACCAAATGCATCAATACAAGATGGGAAATGTGTGGCTCAACAGAACTTAGCCAACTATGCAATGCAGCTGCAAAAAGGGCCAATGCTATTTTGGGATGAATTAGCAAAAGTATTACTTCCAAATCACAAGAAGTAGTACTTCCTCTATATTCCTCACTAGTCAGACCTCACCTGGAATACCATGTCCAGTTCTGGGCACCAAGATTTAAGAATGATGCAGGTAAATTAGAAAGGGTCCAGAGGAGGGCAACAAAGTTGATCCAGGGTTTGGAAACACTGCCCTATGAGGAGGGACTGAGAGAACTGGACATGTTCAGCCTGGAGAAGAGAAGACAGAGGGGGGACATGATATCCCTCCATAAGTACCTCAAAGGCTGTCACAAAGAGGAAGGTCAAGATCTCTTCTCTTGACCAGAGTGTAGGACAGGAGTCCTCAACCTTTTTAAACAGGGGGCTAGTTCACTCCCTCAGACTGTTGGGGGAGTGGACTATAGTCTCAAAAATATGTGAACAAATTCCTATGCACACCGCACATATCTTATTTGTAGTGCAAAAAACAGAAAAAAGCAATACAATGTTTAAAATGAAGAACAATTTGATCAACATAAACTTATTAGTATTTCAATGGAAAGTATGGGCCTGCTTTTGGCTAATGAGATGGTCAATGTCTGGTTCCATATTCGCTCCTCTCTTCTGTATTCAGAGCCGACGCATGCATGCAATAGGGGGAAGAGCTGGTGCATGCATAATTCACACTGGCAAGGCCAGTACAGCAGCAGGAGCTAGCCACGGCTAGCAGAAAGAGCCAGCACATGTGCAGTTGAAGGGAGCTATCACAATTTGGTGCATGCGCCGGCTTTCTGCTCGCCTCCGAAACGGAAAGAGTTTCAGAGTACACCTGTGCTGGCTCAGAACTTTCGGATCCGTTCAGAGATCTTCTCCAAATGAGTCTGAAAGCTCTGAGGTGGGCCAGATAAATGACCCTGCCGGTTCGTATCTGGCCTGTGGGCTGTAGTTTGAGGACCCCTGGTGTAGGACGTGATCAATTCAAGTTGTGACAACCCAGATTCAGGCAAAATATCAGGAAAAGCTTCCTCACTGTCAGAGCAATAAAACAGTGGAACCAGCTGCCTAGATAGGTGGTGGGCTCTTCCACACGAGAGACATTCAAAAAGAAATTGGACAGCCATCTGAGTGGAAAGTTGTAAACTGGTGTCCTGCAACAGCAGGGGATTGGACAGATAAGACTTCATGGTCCCTTCCATTCTACTATTCTACGATTTTATGATTCTATGATTTCAGATTGCTTCTTTATGTCCCCACTGTATTGCTTTTACTTGTCAGACATATATAAGGCAGACATTTGGACTTTCCTTGGGCCATTTCCAATTTGTGAGGTTGCAAAAAAGGGCATCACACTTTTTTTCATTTCCCACTAGGAAATTGAAAGGTTACGATTTATGTTTTCAGTCAGTGGCAAACTAAACTAGCAGATCAGAACTGCAAACTTAATGCTTTGCTCCAAGTGGCTCTAAGTTTAAGGATGTCATGTCAGTATTTTCCTCCTCTTTGCTTCCTTTATTATGTATTTTTGTACAGAAAACAGAGTATAATTTTAAAAGAAAAATCCCTAGATCACATGCCACAGAATTTTGCCTGCTCCCTATAAAATGCTGACCTGTTAGAAGTCCCTAGCCAATTTCCTTCCTCTCACCAAAGCGCAATAATTGTACAAAAGAGAAAAAGGAAAACATACATGGGGCCATCTGCCCCAAGTTTTAACCCTGGTTCCAGAGAAAGGCTGCTATAGATTCAAATCTAAAAATCCTCAACCTTCCTTAAAAGTCAGAAATCTTGGTGCCAGGTGGTTTTGGTTC